GGGCGGCGAGCCAAGCGAGCCTCCGGGACCCACAGTGAGAGGGCAGCAGCAGCGGGCAGCGTTGGGCCGGCAGGGGACAGTACGGTACAGGCTCGGCGTTGGTTTTGGCTCCGGGAACCTGGTTGGTAAGATGTGGTGCAGAGTGGGGAGCGGCGAGGAAAAGGCGTGGGAGGAGAGTGAGGAAAGGGGAGCCTCCCCCCCCCCCACTACGTAGCCAGGGCTCCCTGATTGGCTGGGAGACCCTCGGGCGGAGGGGCTAGGACTAGGGAACCAACCACAGCGTCGCAGGTGTTCCGAGGCAGTTTTGCAAGATTCCTCCGCTTGGGACTTGCAATGTTTGTTCCTTTCACTGAACTACGGGGGTTTGGGTTAGGGGAAGTCGCTAAAGTTTTAACTTAGCACCAGAATGTCTCTGCACCGAGGCTGAGGAACGTATGTCTCTCATTTATTTTCTCTCTCTTCACTATAGTCAAAAAGGCATAGTTGGAGGGGACCAGGGCTGCGGTATTGGTCGTTGAGGATCTTCCAGGGACTCCTCCCATCCTCTGACTCCTCATTCTTTACCTGTTCTCCCTCATTCCGTTCTTCCTGATGTAAACTGTGTTGTCTTGAATTCAGACCAAGGAAATGTTTTCCTCCCGTTTCTTGAAAGGTGTCAGGCTGCTTAGCAGCTTCTTCCAGCAGCCTGGGACCATCTGAGCTGCAACCACCAACCCATTACAAGGGCCAGATTCTAAGGCACTTTTCTCCCACCCTGCCCCCAGTTCTGATAAAAAAACAACAACAGCAACAACAACAAAGAACATTGTCTTTGTGGGCTAAGTTATTTTACTTGACATCGACTAAGGTGTATGCTCCTTAGAACAATTGAACATTCCTTGGAACAATTAAAATGGCAGCATTTGCCCATGAAAACGTTTAGAAGGCAAGAAGGGATAGAAAAGAACAAGGGATGGAAATGGGAAACACAGGAACAATGTGGGATGAATGATATTTAATTTGGGGGTTGCAAATGACAGCATGAAACAAAGGATGTACAAATTATTTTGTGCTATAAAACTTCACTGAAATCACATAAATAACAAAACAAAACAAAGATACATGGTGCTTTCCAGAAGGCCTCCCTCAGTCAAGCAAAATTGGACTCATTACCCTATTCCTAATGCTATCAATTGAATTGATTTGTAGTGACTCTATTGAACAAAGTAGAATTGTCCCAGTTTTCAAGGTTGTAAATCTTTACAGAAGAAGACTACCATGTGTACCATATGTATCACAGATGGGTTTAAATTTCTGACCCTAGGGTGGCAGCTGGGTGCGTTAGCCATTGTACCACCAAAATAAACTTCGGAGAGGAAGAGTCTGTGAACAGGCAGATGGAGTGGAGATAGGAGACTGGATGCTTCAGGCAGAAGAAAACAGTTGTGATTAAAGGCATGGCATTGGTTAACCGAATGTTTAGAGTAAGCTCTAAAAGGAGCAACATAAGCTGTTTCCAGGTAGACTCTAACCTAAAACCTGTCATTATGCACTCCACCATCACTTCCCCACTGCCAATTTCCATCCAGTTGGTCTCCAACGTGTGTTCATGGTTACCCCATGGTAACTGACTCAAGGTTCACATCTCCAGGAATTAAAAAAAACAACAACAACAAACTCCTATTGCTGTATCATGTCCTCTCAATACTCAGCACTGTGACTGTGAAGTTCGGTACCAGATCTGTACTCCACTGGGGAACTAGCAAATTCTGAACCTGTGTGGTTTGCTACCGTCCAGAGATAAATGCACACTCATTCACTCACTCACTCACTCAGAAGCAGCAAAGAGTTAAGCACAAGTTTATTAAAACATAGAATTACTTCAAAAGAAATGAAGCAGGTCTCTAAAGAATTGAGAGAAATGAAGAAATGAAGTGGGTCTCTCAAGAATTCAGCATAGTAAAGATACACCTTGCTCTGGGAGGGAAGCAGGTCACCCCTGTGAGTTGAGATGAGGACGGTATCTAGGAGAATACTTCTAGTTTTTATATGGCTTTAAGCTCTGTCCTTGTCTCAGATCTAAAACTATTCAGTCATTGGGGGGTAGTGTGACTATCTTGTCTTTCTCTACCCACCATTTTCATTATCTCTGGTCTCTTCCATTAGTAAGGAAATGGCTCTTCACCTTCCTTTGGGCTGGAGAGGTCTGTGAGAAAGCCTGTCTCCACCGCTTTTGTGTTTTAAATGTCTGACCATTTCTTTCCACTTATCACCTCTATCCTTCCCATTTTCTGACTAGCTAACTGGTGTGACTGTAGCAGAGACCGGTTCCCTTCTCAAACCCGAGAACCAATACAAACGATTGTTTGTATTACACTGCAGATTTCATTAACTCTATGAACGCCAGTCTTAAATGGTGTAGTGAATTAAGAGTTGGCCTGCTAACTCACAAGGTCAGCAATTTGAAACCATCCAATCATCAGCTCCTCCCACAAAGAGTAAATCTCAAAAACCCCCAGGGGCAGTGAGTTTCCTGTCTTATAGGCTTGCTGTGAGTCAGAATCTACTACATGGCAATGAACTTTTTTGCCACCCTTTTCTCCTCCGCAACCCTCCACCCGCATCCCTGCCATCCAGTAGCTGTCATTTCTGTCCCTGCCGCCTCTGGCTCTGCCCCACCCCTCCTCTCTGCTTTCTTTTTCCTCTGAGCCAGCGGAAGCCAGTATAGATGACCCGCCCACTTCCTCTTTGGAGATAGGTGTGTGTGTGTGTGTGTGTGTGTGTGTGTGTGTGGCAGGAAAGGCGGAGCCAATCCTCTGGGTATTTTTGTTTGTTGCAGCTGCTGCAATTAGCTAGCAGAATCTGGTCAAAGCTAGTCAACTTGCTTGAGAACGTCTGTTATTTATTGCTACAAAGACTGTATTTGATGTAGGTGGCTTCAGCTGCAGCCCCTTCGTGCGGTAGAGATAGTTGCATTCTGCAGGAGCTACAGACATCGTTTTCTAAGACAGCTTGTAGGTTTTACGCGCTAGCGACAAGACGTGCCTCTGGGACTGAAGAGCTGGTGCCGCAGTAATGCAAAGGCTGCCGCAGAGAATCGCAGCAATCGCAAAATCCAGGCCTCAGAGCCCTTGGATACCCTGACAGTCCCCTCGGTGGCCGCTTGCACCCATGAGGATTATCTGAGCGGCCGTGAAGAAGACCCTAACATCCCAGAGGCTAAAACCTCTACCACACCTGAAGAAGCATCCAACACTGCTCAAGCACAAAAGGCCTCGGTGGCCCGGAGCAATTATCAGGGGACCAAGAAAAGTCTCCTGGTGTCCATATTAGCACTTATCTTCATTATGGGTAACAGTGCCAAGGAAGTCTTGGTGTGGAAGGTGTTGGGGAAGTTGGGGATGCAGCCTGGCAGGCAGCACAGCATCTTTGGAGATCCAAAAAAAGTCGTCACTAAGGAGTTTGCTCGCAGATGGTACCTGATTTATAAGCCAGTGTCCCCCAGCCGTCCCGTGGAGTACGAGTTCTTCTGGGGACCTTGAGCACACGTGGAATCCAGCAAGCTGAAAGTTATGCATTTTGTAGCAAGGGTGCATAACTGATGCTCCAAGGACTGGCCATGTAATTACGATTGGGATTCAGATGACGATGCAGAGGTTGAAGCTATCCTGAATTCAGGTGCCAGGAGTTACTCAGGACCCTAAAGGAACTTAGGGCAGTCCCATGGGAGTGAAAAACAGTCAAAAGTACCCCAAGGAGTAGATCTCTGGACTCTCAGTTAACAATACCGGGGCTGGGGAGGGGGGACACTGTTTTGCTATTTGTTATCAGTGCTAATTAACTGCAGAATAGAGTATTTGTTTGTATATTGTATATTTGTATATTCATTGTACTGTACTATTGGAATAATATGTTTAAAATATAATTGTAGAAGAGTTTTTTAATTGAGTCATTTATATTCTTTGCTAGCATTTTAAACAGATTTGCTAATATTATAAAATGGTTTTCCTTCATATTCTGTGACTTGATACAAATTACTAATTTAAGCTGTTCTTTGAAAGTTTGAAATATCTAGTAAATTGACTCACCTTTCTGCATCTCTTTGTGTCTCCTGTTGTATAAAGAAGACTGACATTTACTGTGATTTTGCTTAGTTACTGCAGAATATAGAAAAAATAAAGGTATAATTACTAGGTTACTTGTTCATTTATTGACCACCTGTTCTAGATTGCACAGGTGAGACAAATATGTAAACTAACAGTGTGGTAAATGCTGTAATATGGGATAAGCATAGAGTTCTATGAAAAAATAAGGAAGAATATGTGAACTAATTGAGGATTGGGTCAGTCAAGGGATACTATGGACATTCAAGATAAGTTGGTGGGGGCTGGGAATAAAAGTGCATCAGATGGTACTATTAAAATATTTTGCATTAAGTACCTGTGTTAGACAGGGTTCTCTAGAGAGATAAAACCAAATTCTTGATAATATAATATATTTATTTATAAAGGTAATTAATATATAACAAGAAATGAAATGTTAAATCATAAAGATAATTAGATATATAACGAGAAATGAAATGTTAAATCATATACAGATAAATATACAATCTTAAATCATATACAGATAAATACACAAGAAATAAACAGTTAAATTAGAAGCACTATAAACGGCTTAGTGCAACTCACGTCCGTGAGAGAAAGTTGAGAGACTAGCAGTCCTTCCAGTCTCTATCTGATGCCAGATCTTCCTCTATTTGTAGAGAGAGCTAGGTTATGTCAGCACAGCAGCCAATCACAAGGCAGGTCACCAATTGCCAGTTCCCAGCTCCAGAGAAGTCTTAAAGGGACCTCAACTTACAGCAACACAGTCCACAGGCTAGGCGTCCCACAGGCTCTGTAGCCTTTAAATTAAAGCACAGAACAAGCAAGGCAGCCGCACACTGGTCCGATGATCACAGAGCGAGAGACAAGAAAGGCAAGGCTCACCAAGCCATCCATCTCTCCGCCCCTCAGTCAATCCCACCTGCGTTTATCAGCCAGGCTGGCACAATAAACTGTCTCAGTACCCTTGAAAACTTAACTCAGCTTGGGTGGTGGACCACTGACAAAGGAATAAGAAGTGAAGAAGGCAGCATAGGATGCCAGTGAGAGTAGATAAAACAACTCAGCTTGAGAGCAAAGGAGCAAAGCAAAGGAGAAGTTACTGGGAAAAGGCCATCATGGGACAAGGTGGAAATTAAAAAAATGGGACTGTCAGAAAATTATTGTTGAAATGATAATTTGAGACTTGGAAATAATATTGGAGAGGGGTAAGAAGTAAATAAGGAGACACCAAAGGCAGCATGGACCTTTGAGAAACAGCAAATTATTTACTATATTATGAAGGTTATATCAAGGGGGAAATGGAAAACAAAAAGGGCTTGTTTTTTTTCTACCTGCAGGAGGTGAGCAGGGACCTCCACCTCAAGAGGTGGAGTTATAGCTAATTTTACACTAATTGTAATAATAATCATGAGCAATAACCTTGGAGCAATAAATTTTTTAAAAGGCTCTAGAAAAGCAGAGCATCCTGAATATTGGATAAGCCAGAAGGAAAATTCCACATATGATATCTGTGAAAGGTAACCTGGACAGTACTATTAGGGACTGTTGTTGGCTATTGAGTTCACATTTTAAGTGTGTGGGAGGGGAGTGTAAAGAAAGAGCTCTTTGTCTTTCAGCCAGTGTAGTAAAGCAGGTTACCTGACAGTTGTAGGATCTGGCTTCTTCCCAACCTAGGAGCTTTCTTTTACACTTCCTCACCTCTTGGTAGCAAATACCTTGATGCTGTTCTCATCCAGTCTGTCACCAATATCTTTTATAGCTTCTACTTCACCATGCAGCAGTTCTAGAGAATATTTGAGAGTTATCAAATACATTCATATCAACTACAGGTAAAGAAGATGTTTAAAAAGCTGCCACAGGCTTTGGGGCTAAACATCTTGTGAACTGAGTTAAATCCCTTGATTGAGAGTACTTAATCAAAAGGGTGCCTAACCTAACCTTGTGCACACAGGGGAGCAGCTGCACACACAAAATAGCTGTAAGGCTACTAGTGTCTTTCTTTAGCTCCAGTTGTACCCTACTTCCAGGTGTGCAAAGGAAAGTCCCTGGGCAAGGGATAGGCTAGCAAATGACTTCCTGGCCCATACCCAGGGATCTAAAACATTGAACAAATAGTAACTATGACCTTCAATAACTCAAAATTTATTCAGTAAACAAAAAAACGGAGCCTTCTGTAAACGGAGCGAAGTGCACTTATATCTATAGAAACTGGGGCTACAGATAGTCAAAACGCATTTTTCTTCCCTTAGAGGAGTCATATTAGCAATACTACCTCCAAAGAATACATTTGAGGTCCAGGTTTCTGGCTTTCCTGTCTAGAGCCTCAGGAGTGGCAAGTGACAGATCCTAGACGAAACCCCTAAGTATATTTGCTGAGAATCTAGAGTGCTTTTCTACAGCCCATCCTGGTATGTCTCTACCTGACAATGTACACACAAGATCTCTGCCTGCAAAAGAAACTCGTGAAATCAGCAGGAGAGGTCTGAGCATCACTGAGCGCAGACTTTAAATCCTCACTCTTGGAGAAGGGAGATAGGCTCAAAGGAGTCAGTCAGCTCCAAATCAGTCAGCTAGTTAAGTGGCAGAACCAGTAAAGATTTATTGTACCTTCTCTCATATTATCTCTGCTCTTCACAACTTTTAAAGGAAGCATCAGCTAGCTGAGGGGAAAAATATCTTCCCCAAACCTAGTTGAATATGTTTTCTTATTGCTGAAGGGCAATGAAAGGGATTTCTAGAAGGCAGTGAGAAAAAAAAGAATATATTTGACTATTTACATAAATTATTTGAGGTTTGAGATACATCCAAGCTGTCAGTCTATTATCATGTAAATCAGGAGTTTAAGCTGGCTCCACACTAGCAGGTGATCCACAACATTGGGACTGTTAGAGGGCTACAGTTTTCATAAGACTGCCTTTGAAGCTGGATCAAGTTTTGGTGTCCCTAAACACTCTACTTGTTTAGGGAATTGAGAGATACCAAACCAATCCCACTTTCATATAGTCATTTCCAATTCATAGAGACCCTACAGGGCAGAGTAGAACCACTCTTTTAATTTTCTGAGATTGTAAATCTTTAAGGGAGCACACAACCTCATCTTTCTCCCATGGAGTGGCTGGTGGGTCACTGACCTTATGGTTAAAGGTCCAGCAATTTGTCATCCACAGTGCCACTAGGGCTCCTTAACTTAAGGATGGAGAGTCAAAAACTCCCCAAGGCATAGCAAAATTAGCAGTTACCATTTACTATGCACTTAAATTGTGCCAGGCACTTTGATGGCTATTTACATGTGCTGTCTTTAATTTTAAAAAATTAATAAAAAACAGTTAGAAAACGTAATTTGTTGACTTTAAATTTGTATTTAAAGTTATATCCATTTTAAGTACACAACACAATAAGAGTTTTGACCAGTATAGAATATTTCCATTATCCTGAAAAGTCTCCTTGTACCCCTTCTCAGTCAATCAACCCCCATATACCAGATGCTGGTATCATACTCAAACGTGCTTACCCTTCTATAAGTTAATATAAACAGAATCATGCCAGTATGACCACTCATATCTAGCTTCTTTCTTCAATGTAATATTTTTCAGATCAATATTCATATGGATATTTTATGTGTATCAGTAATTTACTCATTTGCATTATATTAATAGTACTTCTTTATATGGATTTACTACAATTTATTTATTCACCAAGAGATAGATATGTCTATTGTACTTTTTGTTAGTTTGAAAAGGCAACAACACTCATGGTATGCGTGTGGAAATACGTTTTCATTTCTTTGGCAGTAAATATCTAGATGCAGAATTCCTGGATCATTTAAGTGGATGATGACCATGATAAAATTGTCCACACTGTTTTCTTTTTTTTTTATCGTTTTATTAGGGGCTCATACAACTCTTATCACAATCCATACACACATCA